AGAAGTCCATTTATGGACTGAAGCAGGCAAGCATAAGTTGGAATCTGCGATTTGATGAAGCCATCAACAAGTTTGGTTTTATCAAGAATCTAGATGAGTCTTGTGTCTACAAGAAGGTCAGTGGGAGTGACATCACATTCCTAGTCCTATATGTCGATGACATACTGCTCATTAGAAATAACACAAAATTTCTAGAGTCCGTAAAGGGCTGGTTGGGAAAGTGCTTTTCAGTGAAGGACTTTGGAGAGGCACAGTACATATTGGGCATCAAGATCTATAGGGATAGATCTAAGAGGATGATTGGATTGAGCCAGAGTACTTACATTGATAAAGTACTGGCACAATTCAATATGGAGAATGCCAAAAGAGGGCATCTAACCATGTCCCATGGCGTGACTCTCAGCAAGATACAGTGTCCACAGACACCTGTTGAGCGAGAGAGAATGGATCAGATTCCATATGCTTCTCTAATTGGGTCGATCATGTATGCCATGATATGTACCAGGCAAGATGTATCGTATGCCTTAAGCGTTACGAGCCGATACTAATCAAACCCAGGAGAGGCGCATTGGACTGCAGCCAAGAATATCCTGAAGTACCTGAAAAGGAACAAGGATAAATTCTAGTTTATGGTGGCCACAGAGACCTGGTTGTTGAAGGTTACACCGACGCTAGCTTCCAGACCGACAGAGACGACTTTCCGATGGCACCTTGCTCTGACCTGAGCTATGCAACAACGAGATCTCCCTTGATCCTTGCCGGATGTGCTTGACGGTCTCCCATAATACGCTCACGCAAGCCTGTTTCCTTGACCTTGTAGCGAACTTCTTTGAGGGATCAACAATCTCCGCCCATAAGGGTTGAGGATCAAGTCATAGTCAGGGTACATATTTTGCCTAAATGGGGGAGTGTTTAGTTGGAAGAGTGCCAAGAAAAGCACCACTGCAGATTCTACAACTGAAGTCGAATACTTGGCAGCTTCAGAAGCCGCTAAGGAGGCTATTTTGATTCGCAAGTTCATCAGTGAACTTGGTGTTGTACCCTCCATCAAGGGTCCGATAGATCTCTACTGTGACAACAATGGAGCTATCGCTCAGGCTAGAGAGCCAAGAGAGCACCAGAAGGTCAAACATGTCCAAAGGCGATTTCACATGATAAGGGAATGGAAATCCGAAGCTGAAATCAGAATTTGTATGATCGAAACGGATGATAATGTGGCCGATCCTTTGACTCAACCTCTGCCTCAAGTGAAACACAACAAGCACATTAAGGCAATGGGAATCAAGCACGTTGGAGATTGGCTTTGAAATTCCCTGTACATGTGTTTTAATTAAACTGGTCGTTTTAATGTAAGACACTGTATTGAAACCATTCATTTATGGAGTAATGAATTTTATATTTTATATTCACTCCATTGCTATTTAATTGTGGTTTAGAATTAAATAATAAGTCCATTCGATTTTGGGATATATTCAAACAAGGTATCAAGACCATGTCTTGGATAAAGAAACACCTGTTAAGTGAACATTGAATATTTAAATCGAAAATTATCCCCAATCAAGGTCATCTAATTTATGGATGATTGATGACCACCAGAGATTAGTGTGTAGTACGATTTACAGCAGCGTTTCTTGTGCTGCAAGGACATAGTAGTCATAAATTATTTGCACAGGTGCTAGTTTGGAACTGCACCGGATCAACCTATGAGAGTACTTTAAGAGATTGAAAACGTCATAAGTACATTTCTCATTATAGCTATCTGAACTTATTTCCTCGACCATAAGTATTGTGAAGTTTTCTTGTTTGAGTACTAGTCTCTATGATGTTGCCTAACGTCTGGCGTAACTAGGGGTCATAATGGGAACACTCGGGATATTAGATCCTCTTAGTAAGAGAAACTTACAGTACAAGACTGGGAATGTCCTCCTATTAACAATAGGGAACGTGTCTTTGTTGTTTACAAGGCCGCTCGAAGAGTGAGACTGTGAAAATGCATGGTCGTGGTCATATGGATTTTAGAAATCATCTGCTTATTAACAGCCGAACTCGGAGATCGAGAAACACTTATGAATGTAATAAGGATGACGATGAATCTTACCTTATAGTTCACGAAGAGACATTAAGTGACATAGGAATTGGGCTATGCACTGTATGCACACTTGTCCGAAAGGACAAGTGGGAGATTGAAAGGAATGGTGTACTTCCAACAAGTGTATTATTCTGATAGAGGGTTATGAATTATTACAGAGCTAATTCTTCAGTAAGGTCAAGTGATCGGAATTCCTAGGTGGAGGCCGCTTCCAATCAGTAATATTAAGGTATAATTAATATAACAGCTTAATCTTAACTGTACCCTTCAGGTCGAATCCAATCGGACAACCGATCCGAGACGACGAATTAATCCGAAGGATTCAATGATTCGTCAGAGTTTTACGAACACAGACGTCAGATATCGAGCCTAGGGCGTCGAGACCAAGCGTCGCAAAATCACAGGCAATAAGTACGAGCATAGCCGTAGCATCACATTGGTCTAACCATGTGTGTGCTAGGCGCACAAGGCCACCCATCGCAGCAGCATGCTCGCGTGTGTGAGTGCCTTCACATGGAACAGCACCACCGCATCATGTATTCTTGGGTGCCTAGATGCCATCGCAGCCTTTGCATGGCATAGCATCACTATCGCAGCCATCGCACAAGCACAGCACCATCGCAGTGCTAGGCACTTGCGTGTGTGTTCGTGTGTGTATGCCTAGGGTTGTCGCATCATCCCAGCACACAACACAGCACTATCGCATGTCTAGGCCTATGCGTGTGTGCGTGTGCATGCATGGCATCGCAGCGTGCAATGTGCTGGCAGCCTCGCACAGCAGCACCATGCCAAGCATCGCCTAGTGTATGTGCGTGGAGCTATAAATACCAAGGCTTTGGCATTTGGGAAAGAACACACTTGAGTGGAGCTATAAAGGCATCTCCATTGTTGAGAATACCTTAAGTTCGTAAAACTCCAAAGTTTATATTTTGTTCGGGTCCCGACTAACCTTCGGGACTTAGAACGATCGTGTCGGGTTCGATGGTACGAACCGTCGGAGGCCTTGCGTTTACGGGGATGAAGTAGGAGCTGTTTTAGTGAGCGAAGCTCGCGTCTAGGGTATAATTCTTTATCCCTTCTTTTAATTATGTATTAATTATATTTGCATGCTTTAATTACTTTAGTTATCGGGGCGGGTCTTGGGGGATTTCTTTCCGTGTAGTGAGGGTCACTACGAAACCCTACAGAATCATTCTGAAGGATTAGATGAATCATTAGAGTATTATGAACAAAGATGTCGGATGTCGAGCTTAGAGTGTCAAAACCGAGCGTCGCAAGTCGAGTCGAGTTTAAAATTCAACGAGACGAGAAATCAAGCAAGCGACAAGTTAGAGTTAAGCTGTAGCCTCACACTTACCTAGCAAAGCGAGTGCTAGGCTAGCTTAAGATGCCATGCGCTTTACTAGGCATACCGTAAGCCTAGCATGCATTACGTGGTAGGCCAAGCATGCTAGCAAGGCTAGTGCACTAGGCCGCAAGCATGCTAGCAGCTAGGGCATGCTAGTGTGCTAGGCCACACACCAAACCGCAAGCATGAATCACATAGCACTATTACAGCAACTCGCTATGCGTGCTAGTGTTATAGGTTGTGCATGCTGGGCATCGCATAACAGCAGCGCTCTCACTTGCAAGAGCATCGCAATAGCATGCTAGGCATGCTGGGCTTTGCGTGCATGCTAGCGCAGCAGTACTAAGCACCACGCCACTCGCACAACAACATGCACCAAGCACCAGCAGCATCGCATGCGTGTCAGCTGGCTGGCTGCGCGTATGCTGCGTGCTGGCTGGCTGAGCTACCTAGCCTTGGTGCTAGGCGGCAGCTGGAAGCCTTGGCAGGCAAGATAGGCTGCCAGCCACCCAAGTGGCAAGGTGGTGTGCGGGTTTTGTGTGGGGACCAAAATTGAGGGATTGCTTGGTGAGCAAGGGGATTTGGTCCCCCCCTAGAATGGTCCTCACTTACTCTCTCCCTCCATGTGACACTTGGAGCTTGTTAATTGTCTTGCATTTTTATTTTGTTTTGATTAAAATAAAATAGAGGAAAATGCAAATCTCCCACATTGATGGGAGAAAGGAGATCAAGTCTCCCTTCCTTATAAATACCCAAGTTTTGGGTTTGGGAAAAATCACTTGAGATGAACTCAATAAGGCATTTCATCATTAGTGAGAAAACCTTTAAGTTCGTAATACTCTAGTTTTATTTGGTCAAGTCTCGACTAACCTTTAGGATTAAGACCGTTCGGGTCGGGTCAAGGGTGCGAGCCGTAGCAGGCCGTCGCACTTGCGTGGCTCGAGCTTTGAAGTAAGAGCTCGTGAATCGAGCGAAGCACGCGTCAAGGGTAAGAATATTTTATCTCTTTCTCTCTTATGTTGTTAATTATGTGATTGCATGTTTAGTTGCTTTAATTAGTGGGCGGGTCTTGGGCGGGTTTCTCTTCCGCGTAGTGTTGGACGCTACGAAACCCAACAATCACATCGAGTTGACACTAGCTGAAAATATTAGTTCCCCACCGGTTCAAACCCCCCATTTCGCACCGATTTTGATCCGGGCTAGATTTGAGGGGTGCTAAAACCCCATAGATTTTGTACCGGTTCAAAACCGGTGGAAAAAATGACTTTTCGCACCGGTTCTTGGGGAAAATCGGTGCCAAAAACCGAACTTTTCGCACCGGTTTTTATTTTGAACCGGTTCCAAAAGTCTCCAAAAAAAATTTAAAATTCTTTTTAGCACCGGTTCTTTTACAAAACCAGTGCCTAAAGTGACCCAAAAAAATAAAAAAAATAAATATTTTTTTTTGCATTTTTTCACTTAATTTGTACCAAATACTTATATATAATTATAATATACATAAAACACATATATTTTCTTCAATAACTTGTAATATTACACTTTAAAAAACTAAAAAAAATGGACATATAAACACTAACATATACATAAAAAAATGGACATATAAACACTAACATATATATTTTCTTCAAAAACAACATACTGTATGAGTTCTAGCAGGAGCTGTCCTGGTCTTGTGTTGGTGGCTGCTCTGCTGGCTACTGTGTTGTTGTGTGTTCAGGTTGACAGGCTGCTCCGCTGTTTGTTGTGCGACTATTTCTGTTATGCTGCACTGCTGTGCCTTTATCCTGTTCAGGCTGGCTGGACATCTGTTTGCTTCTGTGGTTGTGTCATAACAGGCTGTGCAGGGTGTTTGCTGCTCTGCTGTAGTGCTGTGTTGCTTGCTGGTTTGGGTGCTCTGGGTCAGGCTGCCTGTTTTTGCTGGGTTCTGCTGCGGCTGCTGTGGTGCTGTGCTAATGGCACTTTGCAATTTCTAGGGATCACTTATGGGAAAAAAACTCAATGCCAGAAAGAATAATCCATCAAATGCAAGGCACCAACAGACTAGAATAACAATTTACTATGTAGTCAGCAAAGATCACTCAAGAGCATTTGTAACACTAGTGGTTCTCACTTCTCAGACTCTGGCCATTATGTGCATTACAAAGTTGATTAACTTATAACAGGATACGTAATGCGAAGTACTTCCTCCTATCTTTTTTTAATGGCCTAAGTTGACATATATGGTCAGCACAAGTCAAGAATAGATCATAAAATTTTGATTACCCTGTCCTGAATCCTGAAGACATCTCTTAATTGATAAAAATAAAGACTTTGATAAAATCCAATGTCTGTTTGTCAAGAATACATCATAAAAGATAGATATATGCAAACAACCATGAATTATATTGCAAATCTTTTCTTACCAAACTGATGGTTGTTTTCAAGTATCACTCATCCCATCTCAAAATAATATTCAGTCATCAAAGATCAAACCTTGCTAACTTTGATCATTATTATTTATCACACTACCTATAAATATAGCATATAAACCATAAAATGATTTTCTTTTGGATTAATTTATTGAGATGAATCTAATTCTAACTGCATCATTGTTCATTGTTGGGAGAAGAGGTCCAAATTCATATTTCCAATTAAACAGTAGTAGTAATGGGAGAATAGGTCCAATTTCATAGTTCAATTATCAACCAAATTTGTTTCAATTATCAAATCAGGCTAATAATTTCTTCTCTAGCAACATAATCGCTCCTTAGTATCAGAAACTTAGATTACATAGACCATTTTACACAGACAGAATCCTGCACAAATGGTTTCCTCTATCCTACAGCACATTATTTTAATTACGCAAAGCTCAATGCATATATGTTGATATTATAACAATTTATCTCTCTCAAGAATCTCAACTCTAAAACATTTTAAATACAATATTATGAATTCACATCTTGTTGGCCCACATCAGTCCGCAAGCATTGCACAAGGTTCTTGGACCAGCTGGTCCGCATCACATTACTGGTGTATCATTTTCACTAATACCACAGTGGTGACACTTGTTTGAACTGGAAATTATAAAGAAAATTAGAAAGGGAATAAGTAGAAATTCGGAGATAAATTAATTACTATCCTTCAGCACATTGTGCATATGGGAGGAGCGGGGATTAAATTAACAAGGACTCACACAGTTTCTGGTCCCAGGCTTCTACCAACCACTAAGTTCTTTTTAGCTTCAAAATTGAAAGATGCTGAACCTTCTCTCAAAGAGGGAAATTGGCCATTCTTGCGGTGCATCCTAGTCCTAGAAATAGAAAAGAGAAATAAAGCACATTGGTGTCAAGAAGCAATCCCTTGAGTTGACAAAAGTAATCACCTCAGCTTTTACAGTCTCTGTCTGCCTTGTTGGTTCAAGTAAAGAATGTGTTTACATGTACTTTGTGATGTGTGGTGTTATATATGAGTGAAGATAGCTACAGACCTCACGGGTTGGACTCGGGCACACGTACTTAACATTTGCTGTAATTCAAATTCTTGGATGATAGAGCCAACAGAACGAGCTAATACATCTTTATAAGTGTGAACAAGCTGACTCGGGCACACATACTGTTTCATGCTCTCTGGCCTTTCAGCTCACCTATTTTGCTACAAAATCCATGATTTCATTCTCTAATAAGTTTCCCCACAGTAAATCAACAACCACATATAATCTCAGATTGCTACACTTTTTTCAACATCATAATGATTCTTACATCAGGTAAATTTCACATGGACACGAGACAAAAAATTATACCTATCCAAAACTACCATATGGGAGATACAAAAAAGTCAGACAAGAAGAGTAATACAGCTAATATCTTCATCCACAGAAAGTGCCTATATTCGATAGTTATCTGGTGATAGACAAATACTATAGTAAACTGCAAAGACATATAGCAAGCAAGAGTTTCCTCACCTTCTAGAATTTGATGGTTTTGTCATTAGTGGAAAGAAGAAATAGTGCGCCATTAGCCATCTCACACCATCTGATCTTATTTATTTTTCTCTTCAATCTCTAAACTCTTTAGGTACTCAAACTGAAACCAAAAGGTAAATATGTGAGCTTTTCCTGCAAAATTAAGGACAAAAAGGAAGAGAAACAAACATCAACTATGACAGCCGATTCAATGAAGATACCTACCTCTGGTTCATGGCTCAAAAACTCAGTCTGATAGCGAAACTCAAGATGCCTACTAACAAGATCTCTTCTAGGTCCACCAGGCTACATATCATATGATCACATTATATATAGGTTATAGGCCTCAACATGTAATTATATTAGAATCAAAGAAAGTTACTTTGTGAATTAAACAAGCATGATTGCACTTACACCCTTTCTGTCAGTTCTCTCTAACAAAACAACCTGGCCCCCACGATCTCCAGTAGCAAGGTGGTCCATAGTCTTGTCAAATTCAATAATTGATATAATATCAACTACAAGGAGAAAATTACATGTAAATTAGCCACTGAGCAGACAATATCACAATATCATTTATTTAAGATGGCATGTATCCTGAGTCTACCACAGTAAAGCGTGGGAAACCTCTATATGGTCAATTTCTTATGCTTTATTTTAAATCTAAATGAGATGCTGCCAGCCTATGCCACGTGTTACACCATAACAGCTTTGCACAATTGCATCCCTTTTCTTGCAATTTTATCCAATATTATACGAGTAATGACCAACATAAATCAAGCAGCTCATTACACCACAACAGCTTACACAATTGCAATTTTATCCAATATTATACCACAACAACTTTGCACAATTGCATCTCATTTCTTGCAATTTTACCAAGATCAACACATTCTCATTTAGATGCCATATACTGTCACCTTATGGCAGCAAAATCATAAGATACACTAGGTGAAAGGTGTCCAATCTCTAAACCTAAACAATCATATATACATCAGAAAATTTATGACTACAAATGCAAGATACACAACATAGATTACTACTGCAATACTCCATAACAAAATAACAATTGGAGTAAACAAAATAAGATTGAGAAACTACATAAATCGGAGTACTAATCAGTTTTTGTATTTCGCACTTAATTAGTTCAAAAGACCTTGATCTATTTGATTAATACTGTAATTCTATCATAATATGAGTATCATATATAGAAGTATACAGTTTCGCAAAATTTGGTTACAACAAATAAAATAACGTCCAAAGTTTTAGCACAAACTATAAGTAAAAGGACCTCAATGCAATAGGGACAACAACAACAATATTTGAAGCTAATATCTTTGGTTTCCGATCTTTGAAATATCCCTTCCAAAAACTAGAGTGGTTGCCCAACTTACAGCAACATAGAATCTGTTTCTCTTGCTAAGTACACGCGTTAGATATGCTGAGCGCCAAATCAGAAAGTTGAGGAACCCAGCAATGGAGAACCATCAAGTTCATAAACAAATGCCCAAACGAGAACCATCAAGTTCATAAACAACAGCAACAATCAAAACCCTAAAACAATTTACTATTGTTGAATGCACAACTCGAAATTAAAGTCACAACAGCAAACCACAAAGAACAGAAGACCCTAAATCAACGACTAACCCTAGATTGCGAACGAATTCAATAGATTAGGAAGACCACGAAATAAATCTTACCTCGAAGCTGCTACAATGGAGTTGGAAAGCTCAGCAGAATGCACTTCAATGGAGGAGAGCTATGGAGAGAAAGAGATGAGTTGCGGCAATGGAGGTGAGAAAGCCCAGAATGTGGTTCGATGGAGGTCGTACAACTATGGGGAAGGTAGGCGACAACGAGGGGGGTGCGAATTGAATGTGGAAAAGCTAGAAGGGGAACGAAAACTGAATTGAAGGAAGAAGAAGATCGAATTTCACGATTAAGTGTTTTTTTTTGTTTAATTTACAGCCCCGGTTCGAACCGGTTGTAAATGAATTTTTCCCACCGATTTGGGCTGAACCGGTGCGAAATCCCTCTTTCCCTCTTTTTTTTTTTTTTAATAAAAACATTTAGAATCGGTTCAAACCGGTGCGAAAATCAAGATTTGGCACCGGTTTATAAAGAATCGGTGCGAAAAGTAATTATCCAAATCCCGCCCATTTTTTTTCCCACCGGTTTTTAAGAACCTGTGCGAAAAGGGGGGTGCCTTTTTAATTTTTTCTACTAGTGTGAGTAGACACATTGAGTCGTACCATATTGAGTTCTATCTACACACGTATCAAAACGCATTGAGAAGGGTTGATTTAAACACACTTAGTCACACAATGAGTTGAGTAACACCAAGCTTTGGGTGAACCTCAAGATAAACATATGCAAAGTCCTACATAGTCAATAAACACAGGAACAACTACGGTATCGGAGGACGAGGAACGTCAAATGTATCATAAAACTCTGCACTCCGCGGGGCCGACCCTTGACCAGCATCAGCACCGCTAGTTGTCGGAATGGTAATGGTAGGACTAGCCCACTGAGTACCTTCGCCAGCAAAAGAAGCAGGTTGTTGCTGCTGCGACAATGAGCCAACCTCATATGTCCTACCAGCAAAATGAGGCGACACCCTAGCTACAAAAGTGCCCTGGGACTCATATGGACAAAGCACCGGAGTACCATGTCTAAATCAGCAAACTAGGATGGAAGAGCGTCGATGTGCAACAAGTTTGAAGCGATTTGGTTGAGAAACGACCAAGAACGAAGACTTTGGAGTTTTCAACAAAAACAAATAAAATACGAGCAGCCCTGAAAAAAGGAAGAAGAAGGTCTTTAAATCTGTAAAATGTGAAAATATCGTCGCATGATGAAAATATCGCAATGCGATACTACCATCGCAGCGCGATGAAGCCTGAAGTTGCGCGATGCGCTTGCTACAGCCAGCGTCAGACTCTATGGGTCCCATAAATGGATTAATTTGACTACATTTAATGTTTGGGCTCCTTGTTGCGCCATTTAGCCTCTATGCAATTGATTTGATTAGTAGTCGGCCCGATTACAAGTTTGGTTGATGATCGACCTGATGACGATCATTTCAATGACTTAAGGGCCTAAACATTGGCACATTACAAAGCACAATCGCCTAACACTAGTAGAAAAAATGAATTAGGCAACGCACCTTTGGCACCGATTCTTGAAAACCGTGGCAAAGGAAATGGGCGGGTGAAGCTAGAATAATTTTGGCACCGGTTCCTCTTACAAACCGGTGCCAATTACAAAAAAAAAAAAAAAAAAAAAAAAAAAAAAAAAAAAAAGCAGAGAAGGGATTTGGCACTGTTTCTAAACAAAACCAGTGCCAACTGTTTAAAAAAAAGCCGGGTTAATATGATGCTAGCTTAATTTCTTCTTCTTTCTTTTGCCCCTACTTTCCCTCTTTTTTGTTTTGCTCTTGCACTCCATTGAAGCAGCTGGCATTTTTGCATCCCTCTCCATCTCGTTTTCCCTCCCATTGTCGCATCTCCTGCTCATCCCACTCCTTCGCGTTTTCCCTCTGGTTTTCGCATCTCTTGCTTTCCCTCTTCGTTTCCCTCATCCCTTCTCTTCCCCTTGCTTTCCCTCTTCGTTTTCGCATCTCCTTAAGCATGCACTCCATTGAAGCAGGTCTCTCTCTCCATTGAAGTGGTTTACGCGCATTCTCACTCCATTGAAGCAGGACTTACATTGAACCAAGCCTGGGCTCCGTTGAACTCACGCCATTGAACGTGGTCTATATTCTCGATTGAGACCGATTTTGAGCTTTCTCACTTCCATTGAACAAGCTTCGAGGTAAGGTATTTCTTGTGGTTGTGCGAATTCATTGATTTTCATTCGCAATTTAGGGTTTTTCGTTGATTTTCTGTTGTTTTTAGTAATTTCAGGGTTATGGTGATATAGGGTTTGTAGTGTAATTTGCATCTTTTCAAGACTGCTTTGTAGTGTAATTTGCATCTGCTCTTTTTCGTTATGAATTGGTTCAAGAGCAGCGTTGTTGAATTCTGCTAATGTAAGTTGCTGGCTTCTACAGAGGCTTTTAGGTATGCATGGCGTAGTTACTGCCACTTGCTCGAGACCAAGACTATAGCTTAGGTGATTCTCATGCTAATTTTTCGTATTTATAAGTGTTGGAATACCAATTTTGTATAAATTCTCTCTTGTATGGTGAGTTTTATTAAGATCAATGCATAACCCCAGACTTTTGTTTTTTGTTTTTGTTTTTTGTTTTAAATTTTTATAGGTTCTTTTGTGAATTGAAGCACAAGTTTATAAGCTTGAAGACTACACATTTAGCTCAAGTGAGAAGTTAGAAACAATACATCCATTGTACTTGCTATATTGGTATGAATTATACACTTTACTAATAAGCTATATTTCTTTCTCTTTATTGTTATAATAAAAGTTTTTTCATGCTATTACGACTTGTGTATTATTTAATGACAAATAAATACAACAATATATGAAATGCTTGCATCATCATATGCCTAGATACCCGTTCAAGGCTTTCACATTTGGAGAAAGTCTTGAATAGTCCCCGGTTGGGACTGTTCTTGAACGTTTACTCTCATTTAGGTAGTGAATGTATGTCTTTTTTTTCGATTTTAAGGAACATCTTGGCTTACCATTTCCTCACCATGTTCTCTGGGTAAATATGTGGGTAAGTTATTACCTACATCGTGTACTTGGAGAACTGGGGGGAAATGCTGCCGAATTTTCCTTAAAATTGGAAAGTCGACATACATTCACTAGTGAGATTACACGTTCAAGGATGGGTTAGGTTGGAGTGATAAGGAACCTTTGGAAGCATATATGCATTTATGTATCTATATGAATGTTATATGCATGGTGTGTGTTTGAATTTGATTTACATATATAATAGATGTAGCAATTATACATTATTCGTAATATGTTGCCATGTTTAGAGACAATTTACTTAATGGAGAAGGATCGTGGCTGGATGTATGGTAGATGTGATACATTGGAATTCTTTGATGGGGTTCAAGAGTTTTGCGAGAGGGCTTCATCTTATTAGCGCAGAATGGGTGTCGATTGGCTCTATTGCCCTTGTGTTGATTGTAATAATGTGAAGGTGGTCAATAGTGTTGATATCATTAGAGATCATGCAGTTTGTCGTGGGTTAAGGCTTAAATACCATGTGTGGATTTGGCACGGTGAAGAAGGAGAGTACAGTGGGGATGTTGATGGGAATGATGTGCATGATGATAGAAGCAATGACATTCGTGTGGACGAGGAATACATGAATGATGAACACATTATTGATAATGGCGATGAGGATGGATTTGAGGATGATCAGGTGGATGAGGTCGAGGACGAAGGGGTGGATGAGATGATGTGTGGAGTTGAAGGTGACGTGTTTGAGTCTTATCGGAGGCTTCTAAAAAGCCTTTGTATCCTGGGTGCAAAAAATACTCCAAACTATCAGTCGTGCTAACACTTTTTAACATTAAGTCGAAGCATGGGTGGACGGACAATAGTTTTACTTCTTTGTTGACCGCGTTAAGTGAGATGTTGCCCGACGGGAATTAAATTCCTAAGTCTTACTATTACGCAAAGAAGCTCATGTGTCTATTTGGTTTGGAGTATAAGAAGATACATGCATGTCCTAATGATTGTATTCTTTATCGAAATGAATATGAACAATTGAAGGAGTGTCCACGATGCAAGAAGTCGCGCTACAAGCCGCATGAGTTGCAATGTTGGTACGAAGGGACCTCGTACCAAGGTGTTGTGGTATCTTCCCATTATTCCAAGGTTTAAGCGTCTATTCTCAACACCAAAAGACGCTAAAAACTTGAGGTGGCATGCAGAGGGAAGAAAGAAAAACAGAATGCTGAATCATCCAGCCGACTCCCCGCAACTGAAGAACATTGATATGAAGTTTGGGGAATTTGGGGATGACTTTTGGCACTCTTAGTACCCAACACAGCACATGGCCAGTACTTTTAGTGATCTACAATTTGCCTCCTTGGTTGTGCATGAAACGGAAATACGTAATGCTTTCACTTTTGATGACGGGGCCAAGGCAACCTGGAAACGACATAGATTCTTATCTTGCGCCACTTGTTGACGATTTGAGAACGATGTGGGACGAAGGGGTTTCCGTTTTTGATGCTCATAAGAATGAGAAGTTCACATTGCGTGCAACTCTTATGTGGACCGTTACTGATTTTCCTGCATATGGCAACTTGTCTAGTTACAAGAAAAAAGGAAAAAAAGCATGCCCCATTTGTATTGATGACACCCCAAGCATACACCTTGATAATTGTCACAAAGAGATGTACGTGCGTACTCGAAGGATGCTCAGGCGCGATCACCCATACTGCAGGCAGAAAAAGGCTTTCGATGGGAAAGCGGAAGAGGGGACTGCGCCTAGGCCATTGATTGGTGAGGAGGTTTATGCTTGAGTTAAGGGTATACGAACATTATTTGGGAAAACAAAAAAATTTGTGGACTCAATTGCTCTTTTTAAAAAAGAATCAATCTTTTGGAAGCTTTCGTACTAGAAAGAACATGATGTTAAGCACTGTCTTGATGTAATGCATATAGAGAAGAATGTGTGTGATGCTCTCGTGGGAACGCTAATGAATATTCAAGGAAAAACAAAGGACGGAAAGGGTGCACGGTTAGAATTGGAAAAGATGGGGGTTCGTCCAGAATTGTGGGCTCAGAAAAAGGTTAGAAAGGGAAAGGAACAGGAAACGGAAAATGAAACGAGTTCAAAAAAAGTAAAGGGGAAAAGCAAGGAAAAGGGAAAGGCTACGGATGCGTTGAAGAAGAAATATGCTGGAAAAGCCAAGGATGACAAGGCTTATTTACCTCCGGCTTGTTACACATTGTCAAGGGTAGAAAAACGGATGTTTTGTGCATGTCTGTACGGCATTAAGGTTCCATCAGGGTACGCATCTAACATGAAAAGATTTGTATCCTTGAACGGAGAATTGAAGCTGACAAGTATGAAATCCCACGATTGTCATGTTCTGATGCAAGTATTCCTACCAATTGCAATACGTGGTATTTTACCAAAGCACGTGACGGAAGCTATTACAAGCCTCTGTTCGTTTTTCAATACAATATGCAGCAAAGTGCTTTATCCTTGTACACTTGATGCTTTACAGGTGGATGTGGTTGTGACTTTGTGCAAATTTGAGATGTA